TGAATCATCTGGGAAACTAAGGGTGGTTGCAAATGATTGGAAGAAGTTCACCTGGGGTGACGGGGGGCGGCCAAATTTTGAAAATTCAAAAAATGGTAAAAATTTAAAACATCGCGAAAGTTTAGGAATCATCGGGGAAACCAATGGAGATTGTAAAATATTGAATGAATTTGTCCTGAAGAGGCAGGGGGCGGCAAAATTTGGAAAAGTCCGAAAATGTTGAAAATTTAAAACATCGCGAAAGTTTGGGAATCATCGGGGAAACCAAGGGAGGCAAATGATTGAAAGAAGTAGATAGACCATAGCGGTTCTAGATATAGGGATCTGCGGGGGGGTGCGGGGCGGGGTGGGCGGGTGAGGTTACGGGGGAGGGCAATGGTGGAATCTGCTAGGCCCTCGGTCGGTAATGTGTAATGTCCAGATTATTTTTAAACAGGTACAACTAACAAAAATAGATTAAAAATTAAATAAACGAGCCGAGCCAATGAATCACCGCCACGAAAGTTGAGAAACCCACAAAAAACCGCCAATGACCTCAGGGGAATGTGCAACGCTGCATTCCACAGAGGCCATTGCAACCAACATTTAGCCACTCACAATTTTCCCTAGCAAGTAAAGCCAGGTTAATAAACTCAAAATCGAAGAGGTGGCAATCACACCACCTCTCCCACTCCAATCAATTTGCCAATCCTTGTAAAAATGAATAGAGGAGCCTCCCAAGAAACAGGCAGTCTGAAAAATCCCGCTCCCGAAAGAGCTACAACTTCCTGGCGGAATAATTATTGGAATCGGTCCGACTTTTAGTTAATATTTCGGAGTTAATCTTAAATTAAATTTTCGGAGTGTTCCCAAATAATAGTAGGGAACATAAATTAACGATTGTTCGGGGATACAGAATCCTTAAACCGAGAGTAAATAACCTCTTGCAGCTTAAGGGAACAAGTAGTGATTATCAGTGGTGGGTGTGACTCAAAAAATTAACTATTAAGTGACTATAAAAAACTATTGAGAACCTGGACAAAACAACTAAGTGAAAGACAGGTATTTCACCTAAGTATCTGTGATAGTGTACTGATTGTCATCTGGCAGAGAAACGTGGTGAAATCACCCTAAGAGTTCACATTTTAAGAAATAAGAACCGATCGTAGTGAGTAACCATAAAATTGTAAAATCCTCAATAGAGCCATCAAAGATTGCAAGGGGTTCCTTAAAATTCTAATAACTTTCACCAATTAATGTAAATCGATTTAAGCGCTCCAATAAAACGCAAGGTTGTACGATTCAAAATCTCCTATTTTTTCACTTATTCATTCAACCTGTTTATTCTAAAATTCACTAACGGTAAGATCAAAAAAAAATTCAGCGTCGTCCAAAAAAAAAATATTAATTAAGAAATTCCAGCTTATGATCGAAAAATCAATGTTTTTCGACGCGAAAATTCTCCGGACATAACAAATGGGGGGAATCTTCTTTATCGGCCCCGCGGTGGTACTGTTTGGGCAAGAATGGGGGGGGGGGATACCCACCATGAGATATCTGACGTTGAATATCCACCATATGATATCTAATACCTTGTATGTGATGTCTACAATCTAATATATCATTTCTGATTTCTAATATCTAATATTTCATAGCTGACAATCGTAGTTGTTAAAATTTTCAGACATTCTGTTGGCGGTGCATTTTTTTTTCTTCGATGCAACCTCAATAATCATAATTACAACAAATTAATTCCTGATTTTGTCTTCAAAATCATCATGAGTAGTAGAAACGAATAATGAGAAAGATGAATTTTTTTTCTTATTAAATCTGAGGAATGATTTTAAACTCGATACTTCTCTCTCTCATTGAGATTGAAGCGCGAACTGGTCCACCGCTCACGTGGCCGTGTGTGTTTACCGCTGAGCACCTACGCGCCCTATAAACAAAACACTCGGTCTCTTGGATGAATCGCAGTGAATCGTTTTGCAAGTGGAATGGATATTCCACCATAGTCTTCAAAAGACGATACCATGCAACATAACACAAGTTTAATAATTTGCAATGATCTTTCTTTTTTTTTTGGGGGGGGGGGGTTTACATTGAATGCTCATGACATTGAACAAAACAGAAATTAATTGTGCACTTTTGAACTGAATGTTTCCAATTTAAATTGAACATCAATTACTTTATCTAATTGGATAACAATTAATGATAAGAAAACACACAGGAATCGATTTAATTTTTCAATAATCTCCAATAATCTCAAATTCGATACTTCTCTCTCTCTCATTGAGATTGAAGCGCGAACTGGTCCACCGCTCACGTGGCCGCGTCTGTTTACTGGTGAGCACGTACGCGCCGTATAAACAAAACACTCAGCCGCTTGGATGCGTGGTTTCGAAGTGAAGTGAATGCCTGTTCCATGGATCGACAAAATGATATGATACGACATAAGAAGTATAATAATAATAATAATTGGAAAAAAGGAATTTTTTTCTATATTGAATGGAAATGTAAGGTTTGTAAAAATGAAGATGAGAAAATTTTTTAGAATGTGTAAATATATTTTTACATTTTTGCGAGTCAACACAAAAGACCGATTTTAAGATAATAATTGAATTAAAAATGTCCCATTTTTCAATCAAAAAGTTCATTAAAATCTTTTTCACTATTGTCGAATTTTTGATGAGTACTCTGCAACCAATGTTTCAAGCGGTGCACATTCAGCAAAGCGCAGCAAACTAACTCCTGCGCTGTCTTAGGGTGTCGATGAGTGTGCGGATGGGCAGTTTCTTTAAAGAAACAATTGTCGATCTTTGGACAATTGTAATCTCCTAAATTTACAACGTGGTAGGAATCACCAAGCAGTTGTTCCACATAGTGCTGTTTCTCTAAGCCTTTCACATAAATTTTCCGACTATTCAGTAGAAAACTGTGAAAAACTTTGTCAATGTTCTTATAATCACAATCACCAACACTCCATTGTATTCCATGATGATTACGATTTAGCCACCTGTTGGTTACAATATCCTGCATCTCCACATCACTCGAGGCACATGGTGGTTGAAAGAGGATGTTGATGGGGGGAGATTCTTCAATGTCTGGCGACTGTTGTACTGCTACTGCACTCAGTTCTTTTATGATAAATTCTCCTCGTTTTTGGAATCCTTGCAAATCAATGATGAATGCCATGCTGTTCTTGTACAAATGATGATTGGATAATTTCTGATAGTCCAATTACTCTTACGTTCAGAGCGGAGGTGTGCAGTATCCCCTCCTCTGGGCTCGTGTGTTTCTTCACTGGCTATTTCCCTCTCACCGCCCAATCTACATCCAATTGTTTTCATTGCTTATTATATACTATGGAAAAATGAGCTGAGGACATCAATTGCCACAGCCTCCATTCCCTCCAGCGTCTCAATATCTGCACTACCACCATCCTCATTGTGTGAATCACGTTTAGGGGAAGCCCCACCCTCACATGAGCTGCAATCGGGAGATGTTCCACACTCACTTCCTTCAGCCACAGGTCCTTGCATAAATATACAAAAACCGTTGCTTTTCACCAGAATTGTGAGAACTCCAACGAGTGTGAGATGGACTGCACTGATACCGTCAAATTGTAGAATAGCTTGGCTTATATGGGTAATCAATGTAGGCACCGGTAGTCGCATGAACCATTCCAGAGGTATGAGAACATTCTCCAAAAGGCGTCGATACGATGTGCTCATGTCTCCTGCTGCTGCAGCAGCTTCAAATGATGGATAACACTCGTCCCATATCTCAAATTGATTATCATCAGACATTTTGAAAGAATTTTATTTTTTAATAAACTTCAACTTGACTTTTCAAGGAGAATGATATCTTATATGACGGTATTCAAGAGTCAACTGATGAGATTTCACAAAGATGTTTATATGTGAACTGAAATGTTGATCTTATAGGGAGGTGGTGGAGGAGGGGAGCTATGGGTTTAAACAAAATGATGCACAAATACATTCATACATGATTTTTATTCAATAATAATATACTGTGAGTTCGAGTGTATTAGCAGCGATGATGGAGACACAGAGGGCATTTAGCTATTGACGGGGGGATTGGATTGAGCGATGAGACCGATACTGAAGACCAATGCGTGCGGCAATAGCGTAGCTTGGCGATACTAGGATCCCTCTTCATCATCTCTGGCAACTTGTCCCAAGCTGCATCCCCGGTGTCCTTGGCAATGGTTTTGATGAAATGATTCGGTAGGAATGCAATTTCCAGAGCGGTCAGCGCATTCAAATGCTGAGTTTCACAAAATTTCTTCAAGGATTTCTTTAGAGACCCCACGTTGTACTTGGTGAACCATTTTTTCAGACGTTGCACATGTTCAAGGGGGCAATGGTATTGGGTAGGACTACCATCAAAAAGACTGTGATGGTGGACACATTTGAAAAGACCCTCACCTTCCAGAGGCTCCATATCAGGGCTGCCAAAGTCATTGAAATCCTCAATTGGTCAATTGGAGGGAGTGGGGGAGCAGCAATTTGCACACGTTTTCCTAATGTTAGTTTAAAAAATACCTATCCGACTCTATGGCCTCGCGATACCGAGAGAGCAAAACCCGCTGAAAATTTTACGAAATCTTTTTCAGTTGGATTTCTTGGTAAACATGTTTTCAATTGAACTGTGCCGACCCGATCACGTATTCTTAATATTGATACAATAATCATTACGATGGAGGGGTGCTGACATTTTTATAGATTCCAAGTTCTCCAGCTGCATGATGAGAAAAAAAATGTGATTGGAGGGTGATCTCTCGCTAGGTAAATGAGATCTTTATAACTTATAAGGAATCTCCTTCCCAGTACAGAGCCCATTTGATTCTGTGACGTGAGTGTTAAAGTGCTCTGCCTTTGTGATGTCTGTTGATGCTGACCAACCAACAAGCAATAGAATTTCAACTTGTGAAGTGATCACAATTCGTCAATTTATTCAAAAGTTCTTCGGGAAAAAAAAAGGAAACTTCGGAGAGGATGAAGCGAGATTTGCAATGGGATGCAATTGAGTCGATCAGCTCGTCAGATGGAGAGTCAGAGATTGGAAACTTTACTGACAGTGATGATGATGATGCTGATGCTTGGGATGTTTCTACCCCATTAGATACCGACACCATCTCACCTGATGTCAGTGAAAACGTGGATCATTCGCCGGAGAGTCCAGCGGCTGTGGAGAAGGGAATTGTAGACTCTCCAGCAAGCTCAGACTTCGAGTCTCCAGAGAGCCCAGCGGCTGTGGAGAAGGGGATTGTAGACTCTTCAGCAAGCCCGGACCTCGAGTCGCCAGAGAGCCCAGCACCCGAGGAGAAAGGACTTGTAGACTCTCCAGCAAGCCCAGATCCAGAGTCTCCAGAGAACCCAGCACCCGAGGAGAAAGGACTTGTAGACTCTCCAGCAAGCCCAGATCCAGAGTCTCCGGAGAGCCCAGCACCTGAGGACTCTGATTCAATGGAGATGGATCCACCTGACTCTACTATATCAGAGGTAGCACCAGTGATTCTAGCGAATGTTGGGGCTGCACCACCACCTATTTCAGCGGATGACACAGAACCATTTGTTCGAGTGGGGTAAGTTGTTTGCCCACCAGCAGATGAGGTGGAACCTGTTCGAATTTTCATACCCGAAGAATGGGAAGGTGTGATGCCGGAAAGGGGTATGAAGAAAAAGCTGAGAGAAATCATTAATCGCCATTATAAAGTTGGTGGAACTTTTGTGGCAATGGGAGATGTTCGAGCCAAGCTGATCTTCTGTCCTCATGGAAATATTTACTTTCGACCAATGGGATCATTTACTTTTCCCAAGCGATTGTCAACCAATATTAAAATCTATCCAGCGGTAACTTAATAACAAAATTCTACCATCGTATCAATCCACCAACTCAATTATTAATTTCTTTCATTTTTTTTGTCTGTTTCAGTTGTAATTTCCGAGGGTAAAATTATTTTCACAAAGGATCTTCTACCATCTCACAATTAAACAATGAAATATTTTATTACTTGGGTTCCATTATTTTTTTGAATTAATAAAATTTAAATGTTCAACTAAAAAAATTGGAAAATACGATTGTAATAATCTATGCTTTGAAAACTCTGTAATATTATTTCGTAAAATATCTATGCATATATATGTATTGAATAAAGAATATTTTCTCCACTTGAAATGTCTGTCAATGCCCCATTCTTAACCATCCACCAGATGTAAACAT